TTCTTTCACATTACTTCTTCTATATGCGTTATCCTAGAAAAAAGCGATTATTTCTCCCCAGTGCTAATACCTTTGGAGTTCGCACATGACTAGCTATCCCACAATTTATTACTGCTGCTCAAAAACTATAGAGTGGCACCCACACGTATCGGATTCTATTGAGCCCAATAGTTGGTTTCTGGAGGCTGGTGTTGAGGCATATGAACACGGTTCAGGGAACATCTTTATCCTGTAGTGTAGAGAAATTGTAAAAGGCAAATGAAGTCAGTTACATTCCCAAGAATATTGCTATTACCGCACCATGTTCAAGAGCAAATACCTCTTTTCTCTAAATACACAAGTTGAAATATATATAATTCCTCCATTGCCCCAATTATGAAAAACGTGACGGTCTTGGGACTATTTGAACCTCAACAGCAAGGAGGGCGAATTCAATATAGTCAGCGCTTTAGCCGCCTGAGATGCAAAGCCTCACTGGCAACCGTAGGTTTGATTAAGTTTGAGTTGAGAAGAAGACGACTCGATCGCTGGGACAGTACTTTTATTCGTCTGAAGTTTGAGTTATTCAATTCCATCAAAGTCCTCTATTTTTATAAATTATGACGCCTGACTCGTTTTCTATTGAAACAAAGTAATATCTGTAATAACTAGCCCAAACACTCCTCTCATTCTTTCCGTCCCCAGCTTTCAAATCACCACCACCACCAACGTTCTTATCATTTCCTTATTATGTTTGCTCTTTTTTCGACAGGGCTCATAAGCGCCGGAGTCAGTCTTGTTGTTATCTCCTCGCCCGTGAACACACACAAGACTAATAGCGCAGCCTTCGATTCCCTCAGCGGTTGCGTTCTCATTGTCGGTTATATTTTATTTGACTCCGTGACCTCAACGACCCAAGAGAACCTCTTCAAACTGTACAGGCTGTCTGCTTTGAAGGTTCGTGACGAATTTTCAATTTCTTTGCCCTCTCGCTATCTTACTAAACTGTTCAAAGGTTGTTATCACCGTCGAAGGACATGGTATATTGATTCAATTTTTTCTACCCTGTGTTACACTTTCACAATGACGACTTTTACGGCCCGAGGGATGTTTTTAAAGCTTTACGCACAAGCTACCTAATTTCTTCCCCTTACAGGATGCTAGCACTAAACAAGCTCAGTGCGCACATTGATTTTTGAGGAACGGCAGTAAATATAGTCTCTAACCTCTCTCATGTCATTATAGTTGACATTTTGACTGCTGTTTTCGACTAGAAGGGACTATTTACTCTGTGTTGTAAGCTCGATTGTGATGGAGTATAATCCTACGATAGTTCAACCACGTCACGATGCATGCTAGCTTTTGCGCGAGTTTCTTACAGAAAAACCGCACACGGTACATATGAAAAAATCTTTATTTATATTCATTCGGTAGCAAATTAAGTCTTTTTAAAATATAGACTTTATTAGGGTACTTTTTCGGTTTAAGAAAGGGTTTAATTGTGGAATATTTTAAGAATCCGAATATTCCTCTTATACAGCATCGTATCTGCCGCTTATGATATGTGCTGCGTGATGGACATCCATTGCAAGACCTTTCGAGCTGAATATAATGTCTTCTTAGTAGTTAAGAGAGATGTCTGGTGTTCTTTACACAACAAGTAAGCATTATTTAGTTTGGAAGTGCTAAGCGCAAATTAAACTGATAGCCGGGCTTGAAATTACAAACAAACTTCAGAGTACCATTTCTTCCAGAATAAAGTTTAACGAAAATGTGATTCGTTACTCAATTAGCACAATAAATAGTGATATCGTGCATGCTTTTCTTAAAATATATTTCAGTTTATCAAGACACAGTGGATTACTAGTAGAACCCCACTTGAGTAATTCTTTATGATAGAAAACACATTTAAAACTGGAAGGCAGGCATCCCAAGAAGTCTAATTTCAAAGAAAGGCGTCCTTTAGGAAATTAGGAAAATTTATTCAGTAAATTTTCGACACTGGGTCCCCAGATCGTCGCCAGACTTGAGAAAATGTGCAAATTTTCCTAATTTCCCAAAGGACGCCTTTCCTTGAATTAACATTAAAAACTGTCTGTTGACTTATCATGATATATGCCAGCTGCCTTACCAGACAAAACAAAATAACACTGGGGTTATCCACTGTGAGCCATGGTGTGGCGGGCCAGTTAAACCTCAGGCAGCTGGATTAGCGGTTTCGACCATAAATTGCGGACAATGGTCAGTGATCGAAGATCGCAGACCCTCTCACTCGGCGTTTAGGTCAACAAGACGGTCGATACTGCGCGTATTAGAATAATAAACCTTCAAAAATTCTTGTTCTTTTTTCTTGGCTATGACGACTACTTTAAAGCCGATGCGATTAGTTTAGTGGTCCTATTCGCGCGCATAGAAAGTCTAAACGCGTGTTCAGTCGTCAATCCTTTTGACTAAACTGCGGACGGGAGCAGTTACCACAGGTGTAATTAATTACCTCTTTTCGGCCCTTTTGACAGAGAAAGATTTATTCAATGTAATGCTGCACTCAGTGAGAATGCAGGCTTGTGATCCATGCGAATAATTAAGCGAGTTGGCTGCCAGGTGATAACTTAATCTGTTCTTTGAGAACATCCTTTCTGAGCAGAAGAAGAGACTCGATCGCTGGGACAATATGTTTATTCGTCTGACGTTTCGATATCCGTCGCGGATTCTTCA